CGCCGACTTGGACGAGCTGGTCGACGGGGTTGGTCGACTTGCACGGCGCCACTGCAATACCGCCGACTTGGGAAGCCAGCGGCCGACTTCAACTGGTGGTCGGCGATGTGGCACGTCGACCTGGAAGTCGGCGCCGACTTGCAAGGTCGCCGACTTGGGAGGTCGCCAACTTCAAGAGGTCAGTCTGGAAGTCGGCGACGACGTAGAAGGGGCATCGACCTGGTGACGCCGACTTGGGTAGCTGACAACTGCACTGGTCGACCAGGAGTGACGTCGACCTGGATCTGGTCGACTGGAGGAGTGGTCGACCTGGTGAGGTCGACCTGGTGTGGTTGTCGACTTGGGAGGTCGACGAGCACATACAGGAGCAGCTGGTCGACATAGTTGCCCGGTCGACCAGGATACTTGGGTGACGAGGTTCTGCGAAGGAGTGCGACGGTCACCCAGGCGAAGTTGGCGAGACCGACCTCCATGGTGGTATCCCGAGGTCGTCGTGGCGGATCAGAGGCAGTCGCTAGCTTGAGGTTGACGTGGTGTGTGCGCTGTGCAGGTGACGAGACTTTGCATGCCAATCATCTGCGCGCACCTGCAAAGCGGGTGCACTGCTTTCCTGCGTGAGCAATGCTGGCACACCGTCAACCTGCAGCGTTGGCAAGCTGTCGACTTTGCACTGCTGTAGCGTGGTCGACCAAGTCGTGCTGGAACGCGGTCGACCATGCTGTGCTGGCAGTCGACCAACCTGAATGCTAGCTCTGATGTAGTCTTGCATTGCCAACTTCATTGTACCATTATTGACAACTTTCTCTAGTGAAACTCTTGCCAAATTGCCCCGTGAACTAGCAAGCAGTGTGAGCACTAGGAAAACGTCTAAGGACCAACGAACGCAGACATCACACGAGCACACGTGCCTAGCCAGTACTCTAAGCTCCCGTTGTAGTAGTTATCTCCGCACCGAAGCCGCAGTCGCCACCGCCGCAGCCGAGACAGCAGCCGCTACAGCCGCCACAGCCGCTGTCGCCGCCGCCGCCACTGTTGCGGTCCTGTCCCTGCAGGCGCGCCTCGGCCCTGCCTCACCACCTGCGGGCCTCTACCTACCCGCCCTGGTAAGAGCACTCCTGAGCAGCGCCTCTACCACTGCCTTGCTCTTACTGCTAGCCTTTTGCTGCCACTGCTGCCATGGCTGCTCCTAATGTTCTCACTTTTGATGCTGAGGGTTGGGCTGTCGACTTCGAGGTTTGGGTCGATGACCTACAGCTTTTCCTACACTGCGATAGGACAGATGGTCTCTCCCTGTTCAATCTCACGTCTGGCGCCTCTCCTGCCCCTCCTGCCGATGCCGACAGCGCTGTTCGCTCACAGTGGGCCACACATGATGCTGCTGCCCGTCTTGCTGTTTGTAGTCACTTGCCGTCCTCTGAGCGCGCGCACTTTGGTCAGTATAAGAGCGCTAAGACCCTGTACGACGCTGTAGTTGCACGCTACTCTTCCCCTGCCACTACTGCTCTTAGTCGCCTCATGGTGCCGTACCTGTTTCCTGACCTCGCCGCCTTTTCCACGGTCGCTGACCTAGTTATGCACCTTCGCACTAGTAACACCCGCTACCGCGCTGCGCTTCCTGCTGATTTCTGCGCCAAGAACCCCCCCCCCCATGTACATCACCCTCTACTACATAGTCACCCGGCTCCCTGACTCCTTTCGCCCCACCACACTCACCGTTGACCCCCTCGAGGAGCGCCTCATTGCAGCTGAGAAGAGCATAGTCGCTGTAGGAGCCTCTCGGGGTGACCCTCGTACTCCCTTCTTTGAGGGGTGTTCCCCCTCCCCCCTCCTGCCCTCTGTTGCCTCTGCTGCTGCGGCCGACCTCGTTGGCCTCGAGTCGGTCGGAGCTGCGTCTGCCCCTGGCGGGAGACGCCGCACCGGCAAGTGCAAAAGGGGCAAGGGTGCTGGAGGAGCTGGCGGGGGCGGTGGAGGTGGCGGTGGAGGCGGTGGAGGGGGTGGGGGTGGTGGTGGGAGTGGTGGCGGGGGTGGGGGCGTCGGTGGCGGCAGTGGAGGCGGAGGAGGAGGCGGCGGTGGTGGTGGGAGCGGAGGAGGCGGAGGTGGCGGCGGCGGTGGAGGTGGTGGCGGCAGCGGTGGGACTGGTCGGGGCGGCTCTGCGCAGAGGGGCGGCTCCGGTGGTGGTCAGCGCCAGCAGCAATTGCGCACTCGTGAGACCCCGTTTGCCCCAGCAGCTTCGTGAGTGGTACGCTTCGCGTCAGCGGGGTGGGGGTGCTGGTCCCTGTACCTAAGTCCTGCGTGCCGGCGACCGTACGGGTGAGCAGTGTGGGGGCCCACACCCCACCCAGCGATGCTTCGGCTGCCTGACGGACGCCTGGCGTCTCCAGTTCCCTGATGCCACTGAGATCCCTCGCCGGGGAGAGCTGCAGAGGTCGGGGGTTGCTATCTTTGATCTTGATTATGATGCTATTCTTGCTGCCATGTATGCTGTGTCTGCTAGTGATGAGGGTGACTGTTACCTATGTGTTCCGCTTGACCCGGGCATTGGGACTGCTGCTCTAGGTGTTGGTGAGGCTGCTGCTCTAGGTGCTGGTGAGGCTGCTGTTCTAGGTGCTAGTGAGTCTGCTGCCCCAGGTGTTGGTGAGTCTGCTCTCTCAGGTACCACGTCGGCTCAGGCCTCCCACACCTTCACCCTTCACTCGGGTGCTTCCCGCTCCTTCTTTCGAGACCGCACCACACTCACGCCGCTTAGTCGGCCAGTTGCGGTCTCCTTGGCAGACCCCTCTGGGGGTCTTGTCCTTGCCCACTTCTCCACTGTCTTACCGTGTCCGGCGGCCCCTTCTGGCACCCTGTCAGGTCTCTACCTCCCCTCGTTCTCTATGAACTTGGTGAGTGGTGCTGACCTACAGGATGGGGGGGGTGACCAGTTCACTCCTGCGAGTCAGCGAGTGACCCACTGTACATGTGCTCGGACGGGCCGACACTTGGCCACGTTTACCCGTCGACCGGGGTTGAGCCTGTACACACTGACTACTGAGTCTCCTCCAGTCTCTGCGTCTGGTCAGGTAGCTGCGTCGGGTCAGGTGTTTGCTACGGCGTCTAGGTCTGGTCCTGCGTCTGCCCCCTGCTCGTGTCGTCTCCTGTCTCACCAGACTCTCCTCTGGCACCACCGCCTTGGTCACCCCTCGCTGCCTCGTCTCCGAGGCATGGCCTCCCGTGTCCTTGTCTCTGGTCTCCCCCTGTCCCTCCCTCCTCTTCTTCCGGGGCCTGCCCCTACCTGCGTTCCCTGCGTCAAGGGGAGACAGTGTGCTGCTCCTCACTCCTCCGAGTTTCCTCCGACAGAGGCTCTGCTGCAGACGCTTCACATGGACGTGTGGGGCCCAGCCCGCGTCCGTGGACAGGGTCACGAGCGTTACTTCCTGCTGATGGTTGACGACTACTCGAATTACACCACAGTCTTCCCCTTGCGCAGCAAGGGTGAGGTCACTGAGGTGTTGATCGGCTGGATCCGCGCTGCTCGTCTCCAGCTCAGAGAGCGTTTCGGCTCGGACTTTCCTGTTCTGCGTGTGCACTCTGACAGAGGCGGGGAGTTTTCCTCTGCTCGTCTGGGAGCCTTCTGTCATGCACAGGGCATGCACCAGACGTTCACGCTTCCGGCCTCTCCTCAGCAAAATGGGATTGCTGAGCGCCGCATTGGCATGGTCATGGACGTCGCTCGTACGTCCATGATCCATGCGGCTGCTCCCCATTTTCTGTGGCCGTTTGTGGCCTTGAACTTGTGCTCGGACTGTGTGGTGACGTTGTGATCCACCCTGAGCTTACTGTGCTTTGCTTGACTTGTCTTGTGACCTCTTGTTCTCCCCCACTTTGCCTATGGGGGTGTGTCAAACTCATATGCTGTAGTCTGTGTAGGCTGTAGTGGGGTAGACAATATGGGGTACAACACTTTTAGGTTTTCCTACTTGTACCCACGTGTTTCCTAGTGCATTCATTCCTCATTTCTTCACATATGATGCGCAAGTGGTCCGCCTGCCATCATGATGTTCTCTTCTCCGCTGCCTGTCATGTGCGGCGTTAGTCTTCACCGCTGCCGCGACATCAACCCTTCTGCCATTCCCCCCTCGCCACGGCACCGTTCCAACTGCTCAGGCCAAACCCTCGGTGTGGGAAGGGAAGACGATAAGTAAGTTTGTGCAGCTTTATTTGCGGCCCTTGATGCACCGCATTGTTGCCAGTCGCTAGGGTAGAGCAGGAGGTCCACTGGAAAGTGGCCTCTTTCCAAGCGAACGAGTTTCGTGTTTTTGTCACTATGTGTTGGATTGCTGCGTTCGCTCTGTCAGCAATGGAAGGCATCATGCAAGGCGTTTCATTCAGTGGTGATAGTAGCTCCATCTACCTCATTTGTCCTTCCACGTCCCTCCTGCTGCCCCTGTCATTCCCACTGCCAGCTAAGTACGTGAACAAGCTTCGTCCTACTAAGATCAATGGAAAAGTGGTCGGCGACATAGGGGTGTTTTCAAAACTTGTTCTCTCAGGGGTGAGGTGCAACCTGAATAACTTTTATATTTCGTTTTCCTACTAAGCCCTCTCAATCTAAGGCTCAACCACAGACTTGGGTTTTGCCACGATAGGAAGGAGGGATATGAAGGGAGATGGTGAGTAGGTTGAGTTGGAGGTTAAAGGGCGAAGGAAACCTGCTGCAGCCATGATTATTCGTATTGGGGAATTTATATGCCCTTCAGCCCTCTCTTCTCCCATCCCACCTCCTCCTTGCCCATTCCCCCCCCCATTCCTTTCCCTGCCTCCACCCCCTGTGTCCTCCTGCACTATCTTCCACTTCCATCCTTTTCCTCGCACCACTTCCCCCTTCCCCCTGCCCCTGCCCCTGCCCCTTCCCCCTGCCCCTGCCCCCGCTACCACTTCTACCACCATCCCTTTCTCCATCCCTTCTACAACGCCTCGTTAGGCCACTAGATAAAAACGAAGGTGATATTGAGTTGCAGCAGATGCCCTTCAACCCATTCTGGAAGCCACAGGCGTCACGCCCTCCACCCCAAAAACCCTCCCCCTCCCCCCTCTCCCCCATATTCCCTTCCCTGCAGCTTCCTCCCCCTTGCCCACGCGCCGTCTCCCAACCCCCCTTCCCGCTTTCCCAACCCGCCCGCCCTGTCCCCTCCCTGTTCCCCCCACCGCCATCTCTCTCCACGTCCTTTTGGCAGGTATTCAGCAACTTATTACGGTGTCAGGGTCAAATGGAACGTGTTTATCTTGAAATCTGGTGGATCGGTCCCTACCGGCACCAGTGCTACTTCCTGTTCTGATACTGCTACAAATCCCATCACCTATTCTTGGATTAACATCACGACTGACAAGCTCGGCCGTCGCAAGCACTACAGCTTCACGGCCTCTCTTGAAATGTTGCATCCAAATGATGAGACTACTCTTCGTACTCAGGTCGGGAATGTATTGGGTATCTTAGGCTAATACACCAGAGTGTATCATGACAAGAACCCGAATGCCCTGTGTGGGAAGATGAAGAACGTGCTGTAATGGTTGGTTGGCCCACTTTATTTCTCCCTGGCTGGCTCATAGGGTGCAAGTGTTCATGTTGACAGTGCACACCGTGATGTGGATTTACATGGCTAGGCTGCATTCGTTGCTAAGTGTTTGTGTGCTGAAATTTTTGCAATGGCAGGCATTTGCCAATCTAAATGTTGGCCAGAGAGGTCAAATCTCTATGTTTATATGTTGTTAAAGTACGATGAAGTTAGCCTTCGGGGGTACATTTTTTTAGGGTTCTTGTACGCCCATTGTGTTAGTCAAACCTCATTCCACTGTTCACACGTCTAGACATGGTATCAGTCGCTAGGTTAGGTCCGTACCTACAGTACCGTTCTTACCCCTGCTTCCCCACGCGCCGCGCCTACCCTCGCACGCTACCCTGCCCGTGCACCGGCCCGCGCACCGCGCCTGCCTGTATGCTGCCCCGCGCGCCGCGCTTGCCTCCGCGCGCTGTCCCGCCCGTGCGCTGTCCCGCCCGTGCGCTGCCAGCGTACCGGGCCTGCCCGCACGCGCAGTCCTGCCCGTGCGTTGCCCTGCACACCGTGCCTGCCCGCACGCGCTTGCCGGTTCAATACTCTGCCCCGCGCTGTGCCTGCCCGCGCGCGCTGCCTTACTTGCACGCGCTGCCCTGCTGCGCATGCCCGCACACTATCACGCGCGCCCCGCCTGCCCGTGCGTGCTGCCGCGCCGCGCCTTCCAGTGCGCTATCCCGCGCGCCGTGCCTGCCCGCGCACGCTGCCCTATCGCCACTGCCCCTGCACGACGTGCGTGCCTGCACGCGCTACCCTGCTGCGCCTGCCCGCACGCTGCCCCACGCGCAGCGCCTGCTTGCGCGTGCTGCCGCGCCACGCTTGCCCATGCGCTGCCTCGTGCGCAGCGCCGGCCTGTGCGCCGCGCCTCCTGCCCGTGGGCGCTGCTGCCCTGCTGCCACTACCCTGCGCGCCTCCTGCCCGCGCGCGCTCCCTTGCCGCGCTTGCCCAAGCGCTACCCCGCGCACTGCGCCTGCCCGCGCGAGTCGCCTTGTTGCCACTGACCAGTGCGCCGCACCTGCCCGCGCACAGCTGCCCCGTGCACGGGCTGCCCCGCCGTGCGCGCGAACGCGCACTGCCCTGCCCTGACTCGCGTGCTGTCCTGCCACCGTGCACTGCCCTACCGCACGCGTGCTGTGCTGCCCTTGATAAAATACTAGGGAAGGGGGATACAAGAAAGATGTCAAGAAAGTTGTTCTACCTTCTAAAAGCTAACCCCATTGCAGCCTAAATATATATAACAAAGTATGTTTTGACACACTCCCATGGGCGAAGTGGGGGATAGCCAGAGCAAGCAATGGTCACAAGACCATACAAGAGAGGTAGCTAAGCTCAGGGTGGATCACAAACTCACCAGACAGTCCGAGCACAAGCATGTGGCCGCAAGGCCTGTTCACATACAGAGGTATAAAGAACATGTGAAATACAATTATCACAACCTAGCAAGGGTAAGTATGCAGGCATATATATAGATCACGGTACAATGCAAAGTCAAGAAGTAAGCAAGCGAGGCAACGTAGGCATAAGACCTAGAGCAGTGCAGAAACGCTGATAATCACCAAACCCTAGGGCATTGGTGAAGATATCAGTTGTGTTGGTTCATGAGGCCACGTAAGCAAGGCGAAGCTGACCACGCTATTGCAGCTCTCGAATAAGGATAACACAGAGTGATATGCTTTGTTCTATGCTCCAGTCTCTACTCCCAACACAAGGCAAACATGGCCTTGTTGTCGATGTACAGGACGGAAGAGAACGAGGGTGCTCACCCAAGTCAGTCAGCAAGTAGGTTAGCCAGCGTAACTCCTATGTAGCCATGGTGCCCGCGTGATCTCAGCCTCACAACTTGAGTTGAGAACAAAAGACGAGCGGATGGACTTCCTGGAGGCAGAACTAGTGCCGAGACTGAAAGTGTAACCCTGTGAGGACCGCTGTGTTGGCTGGTCGTCTGTCCAAGAGGCGTCTGAGTGCCCAATAAGCACAACTGGACCCCATCCTCCAGGCACAAGCCCCATGCCTGATGTACTGCACAAGTAACGCAGTACCCTCTGTGCAGCTGCCCAGTGCTCCTTCCGATGTCAACCGGGAGTAACGCGTAAGCCAGCAGTGAGTATCGCTAGCGCAGCTCGCGCTAGTGCATCAAGCACCTACATAGCGCGCGCGCCAATTCAGTGCGTGCCAGCACAACTCGCGCGCCAATTCAGTGCGCACCAGCACAGAGCGCCGCCCGGCAAGCGTACGCCAACAAACCTTGCGTACGGTCATGGCTCATTTAAGTTCGCCCCCGAAAGGGGAACTGCGTTGATGTAGGTGCCTATGGACTTACAGGATGCCATCTCTGGCTGTCTGCCACTAGGAGGATTAAGGCTCCGTAATTGCCTCTACTTAAGATCGCGCAGGGTCGGGATGTCTAATGCATCCGGGTCTCCCTCAGGTGCAAGCAGCATGGCAGTGAGATAAGGTACAGAAGCTGCAAGGCACTCGGGCTCAAACTGCCTGTCCTCAAGGACGTTCGTGCCAAGAGCACACTCACCCCCGACGGACGGAGGATAGTTAGAATCAGACTACGTAACAAGACTAGCGACGTAGTCGAGACGACACGTAGCAGCGAAGACAATGAGCTCAGTGATTAAGGCAGACACAGTAGCAGACTCAAAAGTAGGGTCAATGACAAGTGTGGCTAAAACACGTGCGTCAGTAGGACTAGCAGCACGAACAACGTTAGACTCAAGGTCAAGAATGTCGGGAAGAGAGGGCGCTGTAGGAGACGGCAGCGCAACACATTGTGGAATAGAGGAAGGATGAAGTACCATAGTGTGTGCCAGGAACAGGTGGAGGACAAACATGATGAGCCCGATGAATAATGCGAACAGGGGAGGTAGGGTGGGACGCAGGCTCATGACGCTCTGTGAGAGAGTCTGCCTGCTCAGTGTAACGAGAAGGAGTAGGCAGTGGGGAGTCAAGCTGTAACTATGGTTTTGACTCGTCTGGTGGAGGGCAAAGTAGGGGAGGAGTAAGGCTAGTGGAAGACAAAAGACCGATAACCTAGCGAAGCGCCAAGCCAGGCGGTGGCAGCGACAACTTCGATTGAGGCCAGAAGAACGGTCGCCGCTGCACAGGCTGAGCAACACCCCTTGCATTAGAACGTCCAGGGCCCTGAGCTCCAGTACTTCCAGCACCACCAATAGCAGTGCCTCCAGCTCCAGCACCTTCAGCACCAGCTGTCCCAGCCCCAACACCTCTAGCTCCTGTAGCTCCAGCTCATGTACCTCCAGCACCAGCAGCCTGAACACCTTCTGCTCTAGTAGCTCCAACGTCTCCAGCTCCAAAGTCAGCGATTAGAGGTTCAGCACCTCCATTTGCAGCACCCCCACACTCAGCACCCCCAGAACCAGCACCTGCAGAGTCAGTACGGCATCTGACTACCCACTCACGCAGCTGTTGCGGCGAGAGAGTCTCCTTCAGGCACAACGGCAATGGTTGTCCACCCCCACGCTTAGCTCCCCCAGAGTCAACACTCCCAGGCTCTGCGCCACCAAGACCAGCACCTCCTGTGTCAGCACAGCGTCCTACTACCCACTCACGCAACTACTGCGGCAAGAGAGTCTCCTGCGGACGCACCGGCAGCTGCTGCCCACCTCCAGTCTCAGCACCCCGAGAACCAGCACCTGCAACGTCAGCACCCTCAGAGCCCACACCTCCAGTGCCACCACCTCCAACAGCACCGAAGTCCATAGCGACAGGCAGCAGAGGCTGCGAAGATGGCCGAGGTGGAAAGCCAGGACGGGTCTCCAAGCGCGGGGAGTGGCGGAGGGCCGCAGTGTCGTCAGCAGCAGGGTCACCCCCCTCTGTCGAGCCAAAGGAGACCTCCAAAGGCTCAACCAAGGGGGTGGTGAGACCTGAGACACACCTGAAGGAGCAGGGCGCGAGGGGGGGTGGGGGTCTACCGGGAGAGGAAAAGTGGCGGCGGCGGGACAGGAGAAGACACGTGACGAAGGAGACGGCAGTAGTAAACCATTTCGTCAAAGGTGACGTCCTGGAAGGGCAGGCGTGGCTGGGTGGTAAAACTCCCATCCAAGCGCGTCAGTGGAAAGCCAAGGAGACATAGCAAACGGCGCGAGAATCGAGCTTGTCCGCAATGGTATTGTGGTCATGGGCAAACGAACCTTAGACCCAAAGCACAGACGTATCGCCAATATTCCCCGGTCTCTGGCTCGGAGACATGGAACAGAGGTTGAGCTAATGTGCGGTGCATTGGACCGCAAATGACCATAGAAAATTTAGAGCAGCCGCATGGATCATGGAGGTGCAAGCAACCTCCATGATCAAGCCAATGTGGTGCTCAGTGATCCCATTCTGCTATAGAGAGGTCGAAAGCGTGAACAAATACGTGATGCTCTCCACACGACAAAAGTCCTAAAGGAGACTGGAGGAAAGCTCACCTCCACTGTCAGAGTGCAGATAGAGTACCAGGAGGTCCTGACGGACAAAAAGATGTACAAGCAAAACACTCAGTTGTAACTGAATCACGAGGGCTCAACCTAGGTGGTTGCCCAGCCCTCCTCGCGAAACTACGGTGGTCTGACGAAAGTTCTCGGGTTCGACCAGATGGACTGGAATCCCGTCTGCCACCTCAGCCCCAGCTCCTCAATATCACAGATTCTCTGCATCAAACGTGCCTCGTCATCCGCCAGATTCCACACCGCCCTATCCTTCGTAGCCTGCTTACCAAGTCTTCCACAGTACACCCGCACGTGCTTGTTGAACTCTACGTTGATCCTCCGAAGCACTTCCGAACTTCGAATTTCCATGTTCTGCCCATTGACACGTCACACCTCCCCAACCAGATTTGATGTACCGCCACTTCCATCAGAGTAGCCGAAAAAAAAAAAACGGATTTCATCGCTTTCGCCCCAAACAGAAGGTACGCAAGGTTGTCCACGCGTCTTGCACATGCAGACCGCCGATTTGACCGCAGCAGCCACCGCTACCACGTGCGAGCACTCCAGCATATAGCGATCCAATGTCTCTGCCTCTCTGCAGTGCGGGCACACAACCCCCCCCCCCCCCCCCCCCCCCCCAAGAAGTACACCCTCTCCCCAACCTGCAGATTGAGGCTATGCAGCCGGAGCAGAACATCTCGTGCTCTGACCAGAATCACCATGGAGTCTCTAACGCGCCTCCCCCAGTCCCAACCTTATGCCCGGGCTTCCCATCTCGCTCATTTCTCCTCAACCACCTCTAGCCCTTTGCTAGACTCCCTGAGCTTCCTCAGCGGCGCCACTTTCCCTTCCATAAACAGCGTTGACCCCAGCAATCATACCCTAGGGTCCCCTACCACGCCTGCAGCTTGGCACTTGAGAATTCGCGACGGTACCACGCACTCACACCGCAGCTCGAAGCTTACATCCCACTCGGTGCGCTCTCCATGCTTGTTGACTCCACGCAAGACCACCGATTTCTCCTTGGTTTCACTGACTTCCCGCAGACAATTTCTCCCGCTCGGGAGAAAGGTACGCACATACGGGGACACCGCTGAAACTTCCTCCGCCGTTACCGCTGACAACAACCACTTCCTCCAATGCTATGGCGTTGCATAGAACGCCTTGATTGCCATGGCCGCTTCCTTCTTGCATCCCAACTCTCGGGTAAGTGCTTCTACCGAATTAACTGCGAAGGTAGCGTCCCACTTCTGAACCACCATGTCGCGCATCTTCCACTACCGCCACTTTGTTGTATGCTTCTGACCTCCGAAAGGTGCCTTCCCTTTGTGTATAATCTCTGTATTGAAGCACCGGTACTCTTCCTTCACCACCCACTATGATGTAGCCTCCGGTACACACACCAGCGTCGACTTCAGCACCACCTTGCATAGCTTCGCCCATCTCCTGCTCTTGATCTCCCCTCCCTCTAAGCACCGCTTTGTGCGCAAACAACGTCGCCCATCCGGTCGCCAATCCTGCCGCGCTTTCAGTCACCCCGTGCCTGAGCGCGCACCCCTGCAGCAGCGTCAGCCCCACGCATCTCAGCACAAGCCCCCCTATTCTAACAACGCGTGCATCAAGCTGCCGCTCCAAAGACGGAAATGCTTC